TTTATAAGTTACATAAAAATTAAAGTTATACTTATTTTTTCGTATAAAATAAAAATGAGTTAAATTTTTTTAATAAAATATTTAATTTAATTATTAATTATATTTTTTTTGAAAAGTTATTAATTAATTTGAATATGTGAGTAAGGGTGATCATGAGTTGAGTTGATCGGGTTGAAAAATCTCAATCCAACATAACATAAACCTTACGGGTTGATCTGATTGATATATCATAATATTCTCCTAACCTTGGATATATTGTTTTCTCTAGTCTACTTGTAATTTATTTTTCATCATCAACCATTTGATACCACTTATTCATATTTCTTAAGTATATCGCATTCAATTAATTTTTTTTCTTAATTTGCATATATATAGGTAGAGGTTCATTTGAGAAGTGATAAGTATTTGAGAAGTAAAGAACTGATCCTAGTATTTCATATGGTCAAACCACCCTTCTAGAAACTTGACAGCTTCAAACCATCCTTTTCGATTTGCACATTTACAGAATCAGTCCTTTTAAACCAACAACCTAAAATATAACACCAAAGCCCATAAATAACAAGATTGGATAATAATAAAGTTGTATTTAACATCCCCTAAATCTTGACATTTAAACAAGTCAATCAACTTCAGTTTTAAACATAAGTAATTATATTGATTTATACCAAGAGACTTTGTGAAAACATCAGCAGGTTGCTCATTAGAGAGGATTTTTACAATTTTTAACACACCTGAACTATTCTTTTCTCGAACTTGATGGATATCAATTTCTATATGTTCAGTGTGTTAATGAAAAACAGGATTATGAGCAATTTCTATTGCAAATTTGTTGTCACGATATATATTTATGGAAAGTAAATCTTTAATTCTCAAATCTGTTAAAGTTTTAAAAACCCATATTATTTCACAAGTTGCAGAAGTCATTCCTCTATACTCTGACTTAGCAGAAGAACGAGAAACTGTATTCTGTTTCTTACTTTTCCAAGAAATTTTAGAATTTCCTAGAAACAAAAGTAACCAGTAACAAATCGTCTAGAAAAAAGACATTTACCCCAGTCAGCATCAACAAAAGCAGATAAGTGGAAAAATTCTGACCTTGTAAAACTAACACCCTTTCTTGGTGAAGACTTCAAGTATCTAAGAACCCTTGATGCCAATTTAAGATGGGACTGACTAGGGCTATAAACAAACCGAACGCCCAGCGAACCGTTCGGCAGGAAATTCGTTTATTTAATAAATGAACGAACATGAACAATTTTTTTTGTTCGTTTAGTTAAACGAACGAACATGAACAAGAGTCTCATTCATTCATTTATATTCGTGAACGTTCGTTCATTTACGTTTGTTTATATATTAATTATAATATATAGTTTTTATTTATTTAGTTTGAATTCAAATTTCAAAAAGCCTTTTAAGTATTGGGCCTTTTAAGTATTGATATATTAATGATGGTTGATGAATTGTGATTGTTTTGTGTATGTTTAAACTATGGTTAATTGGTGTGTAGCAGTTTATTGAATGACAAGTATTGGTGTTGGTTTGTTTATGTTCATTTATATTCGTTTAGGTTTGTTCGTTTGTGGATAAAAGGTTGTTCTTCGAAGGAAAGAACAAACAAAGGAGCCAGGTCTAAACAGATGAACATATCTGAAAACTTACTTGAAGAAGGTAAAGAACCCGGAGAAATAGTCCCCAATTAGAATGGACAGGTGGAATTTATCAAGAAACAACCAGATCTGAAGGAATAGGCCCTGAGAGAACAAACAGTCGCCTCAAACGACAACGGAAAAGATGAACAACCACCAAGAAGTTCGAGTTCATAACGATTAGAACAAAAAACAGCTCTAATACCATGCGACGATCTAAGCTTCAAAGAGCCATATGAAGGGGTGTGTGTGTATGTATGTATGTATGTATGTATGTATGTATGTATGTATGTATGTATGTATGTATGTATGTATGTATGTATGTATGTATATCAAGAAGTTTCAGATTGACCCTTCAAGTTTATCCACTAATGCTCCACTACCCTTCTAGAAACTTGACAACTTCAAACCATCCTCCTTGATTTGCATCTTTACAGAATTAGTCCTTTTAAACCAACAACCTAAAATATAACACCAAAGCCCATAAGGGTGCGTTTGGTATGCAGACTACATGAGACAGGACGAGACAAAAAAAAATAGTCTCATGTTTGGCATGTCATGGACAAAAAAAATGGGACAAGGTAGGACTATTTTTTATTTTAATGGGACAAATCTTGATCTTTCTTGTTCCACCAAAAAAGGTGGAACAACGTGTGACTAAAGTTAAAATGATAATATTTTGGTTGATTTGTTGTCATTTTACAATCATTATATGATATAAAATAACATTAAACAACATTTAGGGGTAATATGGTCATTTTAATAGTTTTGTCCCGTCCTGTCCTAGTCGTACCAAACATATGACATACAATTAGTCCTGTCCCGTCCCGTCCTGTCCCGTACCGTCCCGTTCGGTCCCATCCAGTCTGCGTACCAAACACTACCTAAATGACAAGCTTGGATAATAATAAAGTTGTATTTAACTATATATATATATATATATGTGTGTGTATATATATATATATATTAGATTTATATAATAATCTATAAATGAATTATATTTTACAAACTAAAAAATGGAATGTAAGATTTTTGTAATCACCTTCGTTATGGAGTTTTATTGAAGTTCATACTTTGTTGAGGTGACAATGATATAACATAGAAATAAATGACAAGTGAAGAAATTAGAAGTTCCACAACTATGGATGCTCCTATATTTATCTCGAACAGATTCTTCATTTTAGATGTTAAAACATCAATTATATTATTAAAATATTTAATAAAATATTATTTCTTTCTCTCAAACATTTATTTTAAAGACTCTTATCAGTAAAATAATTAAATATCATGTTTCCCTAATAATTATTATTTTTAGAGAAATCTTTATATTTGCAAAAATAAGTTATTATATTCTATTTTTTATTTTAGAGAATTGTTGAAGAAAAAAATATTCAAAATCTTTACTTTTTTTTCGTGTTGAAGATGTTAATAATTTCGAGGACACGTGTCAACCATTAGAAGAATTTGAGATAGTGGGCTGGAATGAATAGGAAAGTTGGTGGAGGTTGTGAAACAAAGTCAAATTATCAACTGATTTTGTCAGAATCCATATGATCGAATGTGGTTTGGGATTTAAGTCGATTTTATGAATTTTGTGACTGATTCCATGCAATACATATGGTGAAATAAATTTTAAAGATTTTTTTATCTAAATAATTATATTAAAATAGGAAAAAAATTAAGATTTTAATTTTTTTCTATTATTGATACATTATAATTAAAACAGAAGGGTACACGCATAATGCAGCGAAATATATCTTGATTTTAGTGTTCTGTTTGATTCTATCTCTGTAGATGTTATAATACTGTTTTTATATAGTTTTGGAAAATGGATAATGTTTTTATTGTTTAATAAAATATAAATTTGAAAATATCATAAAATTTCGAAAACAAATATATCAATGTTACTATCAAATTAATTATTTAAAAGTTCGTGTTTTTTGTGCAATTTCTGTAATTCTATTTTTTATTATAAATTATAATAACGAAGTAATTTATTTTTGATATAATAATATTTTTTTATAAGAAAAAGAATTAAATATTTTGTTAAAACTCAATAACTTTCCTAATGATATTTTAGATTTTTTATTTAAAATAAAATGTTTATCGTGTACTTGACTATGTTTATCTACAATTAGTTACATGAATTTAAACATAAAGTTTTAATAAGTTGTAATTACGCATAATTTATTTGTAATATTGAATTTTAAGTAATATGCATCAATTAACAATATTTCATGTATAAAAAATAATTTTTAAGAGTTTTTGTCAAATGTTTTATAATATAGTATAAATTTGTAGATGTATTAAGCTTTGCAAAAAAAAAATAAGGTTTTGCCAATAACTTTTGGGGGATTTTTGAGCGACTTATTAGAAAGTTTATCAAAATCTTGAAAGAAATGAAGGGTTCGATAATTTCAGCGTTTACATAAAATTTGGTTTTTGTTATGTTGTATTTTATTGGTAACGTGTTAAAAAGAAATAGTAAAATCTTTTAGCTAAAAACCCGAGTCAAACGGTTTAAAAAATTTATGCAACATAGTTAAATCATTGTATGTAAGTTAAACTGAGAGTGGAATAAAATTTGGCAATTATTATTCAACTCGAAATAATATGTATTTCAAGGTGTATAAATTGATGGTAGAGGACGTGGTTTCTTTAACTAAAACTTTGTATGTGTTTCATTCAAACTTATAAAATGATAATATTCTCTTGGGAAAAAAGAAGGCACAATCGTCTTGAAAGATGAACATAGGAAATGTCAGGTAAAAGATGTAAGCAGTTAGCAGGGCTGGTCTTATGTTTTGGAATTAGGATTACTAAGAAACTC